TCTCCCCTTGTACGTCTCTTGAATAGTTTTATACAATTTTTATAGGCGTGGCATTCGATTTTACCCTATTTTCAAAAATAAAAGGAATATTCTCTTTCCATATATATTCATACAAGTCCTTTGCTTGAAATATAATATATAATCTTTTTTATATAAATGTATCAAAAATATAAATTCATCTCCCCATGTATAGCAACGTAGAATCATAAATAAATGTAAATGTTTATAGGCGACGTCTGCGATGAAAATGAGCGAAAATGTCTCGGATATAGGAATTTTTAGTTATAATTAAGAATTAGATTAATGAAAATTGATTTGAATATTTCTTTGATAGTCAATTAGTAAGAAAGTTGGCAATAATATCTGATGTGGTTGCGAAATTTTCTACAATGTTTCATTATACTAAATATTATAGATTTAAATTGCAAAAAAACCACACTGGCGACGTGGACAAACGTTACGCATTAAACGTACGTAAGCAATATATAGATAAAGTAGTGCTGTATAAAATGGATGGAGTAATTGACAAAATATCTTTCTTAGACCATGCGATAAATTCTAGCGATGTTTTTCACGTCGATATAGCAAACAGTTCCGAATGTACAACAGTGCGAGCTCAACAATTGTATTAAAAAAAAAAAAAAAAACAAGCGACGATGTTGCAACGGGGCAGTGAATTGAGCAATGTCAGCGAAACGCAACAGTCGGGGCGAAAGGGTAGAGCAGTTACCTACTGTGAATAAGTTTTTGAGATAGTTTTTTCCCATTCAAGCTTGGAGAGGATAATATCATAAGAGTTTATGCAGTAATATGGATTCTTGCTTGGTTTAATTTGAAGGAAATGAAAAGTAAACATAAACGATTTTGTCTTTATATTTCTAATCGTGTAGCCTAATTATCTTAACAGCAACTTCTGGCAACATTCTTTGACTTTTACTCTCATTCTCTAGTTTATGTTTTATTACAATTAATTTTATTGTGAATTAGTCCCAGGCCTTCTTTTTCTTCTTTTTGTGAACAAAAATCATAAATTACAGAAGGTGCAGTAGGATCTTTGCAGTGATATCGAAGCACAATAGTAATAGTGGTTAGTAAATTATTTCAATTATATTTACCTATAAAGAATATAATAAGAATGTTGTAAAACGTGAAACGCTGACTAAACGGCTATTTCAGTAATTTCGGCAAGCTCTTCAAAATTCAAACTAAGTTATAAGAAAGACCAAAAATACATCTTCGGTCAAGAAAATTTGGACGTAAAAAAAGAAAACGGCAAAACTACAACAAAATCAATTTATTTTTGGATGAATTAGTGCAGAAAAAAAAGTTAAAAGAAAAACGAAGTGAAGAGGTATATCAACCTGTCAGTGAAAGTGCGAACGTTCTAAAGGAATATCCAAGAATTTCCCAAAAAATAACAGCAATGGAAAGCGAACGTTTACGTATAACACTTGATAGACCAGATAAAATATATTACGCCGGACAAACTGTTAAAGGAGAAATATGCTTAAATTTAACCAAACGCACTAAAATACGTGGTAAGTGTTTGACATAATTGTTTGCCGAAAGTTTGTCCAAATTAGATATAGCCAATAAAGAAATAAAACAATTGAAAAAATTTCTACTCTTCCCGTTAGTGACTTACATCATTTTACGTTTATTTACAATGAGCTAACCCCCTCGTTGACTTTTGCACTAATTTTGTTGTTATTTAAGATATACGAGGGGTGTCGTTCACTGCCTCTTCATTCATATGTTTTTTTGTGTTTTATTGAACGATTGTTTATACAAAGATGCTTTTCGTGCCAATAAAGAATGCTTTGTTTAATTATTGCAATTTATTCTCCGAATTGTAAAGGAGAAGAATAGAGCTGCCAACAGAAGTTACCAAAAATATTTGGAGAATTTAGGCAAGTTGTTAGATTTATTCTCATTTGGATGTGTACTCTGCTGTGAGAATATTTTTATTTAGTCAAATATAAAGAAATAATAAGCTTTACATTAGAAACGATCAAACGTTAAGGCCTTTTTTTGTGACTCTCGCAAGCAAATCACGGAGATATTTCTTTAACGTTTGAAGAATTGATCGTAGGAGAATATGTTTATTGTCACATGTTATGGGTATCAAACCTATTGTTCGTTGTTCGCTTCATATTTTTCTTTCTGCGAAATGTTTTAAAATACAAAAACGGTAAAGTTAATCGCCTAAATGCTCTCCATTTTTAATTAAATTTGCGTTTTGTTTTTTTGCTTTATGAAATGTTGTGGTAACCACATTTCTGTTAATAATAAATAGAGGGGGAGGGAAAGAGAAAGTCCAGCTGATTAATTACAACACCTTCTTTCTTCTGCAACATTCCCGAAACGTCGTTTCACATTTCAAGATATTATTTTCAAACCGACAATTGCATGAAATTCCCAATTACGTCAGGCCTTTAGCTGATAGTTTCTTTAGAAGCAATTAAAAGAAGCTTTGCTAGTCATGTTTAAGGATCTTCGTTGTACCAAAAAAGAATTTCGCAGCAAATTTGTTTTAGTATATGTTTTGTTAATAATGTAGAGTAGGTTTACAAGTGAATTTCAGGATAACATAAGGACATAGTAATCTTTGTTATTTTTGAAAGTTATTTACTATCACTTTCACACAATTACAATAATCTGATAAGCTTTATTATTATTTATGTGAACCTAAATAATCGTTTTAGTTATTAATCAAATTTTAAGTTATTACTTTTCGTAATATAACATAAATTTATTCTTTAAAAATTTAGTAAACAAAAAGAAACCATTCTTTTAGTAGATATTAAACAATCTGGTTTTGCGTTTGCAAACATTTTTACTTACATATGTAGATTAATATAACTTGCATTGTTTTTAAAACAATGTTTAAACGTTGTTATTGGCAGGTAACGTCCCGTACATGAAATCATGATTGAGGATTTTTCTGTTAAGAAAACTAAATTAATTTAAAATTAAAATGTAATCGAGAAGACAAGCAGATAAATGCAACAGTTAATTTTGTCTAATCTACGCAAGGAGAAGATTTTGACATACGCCTGTGGAAAGTGAAATGAACTACGGAAAAATAGGCTACCGAAAAAGATTTCGCGGAAAGGATATCTGGTTACTAACGCAATAGTTTGGCGTTAATAGGTTGCTTTGCACATCATGGTTTCTCGTAGTGTAAAATTAAATCATACAAGAGGCTACCTGAATGGAATGTCCTTCTAAATTTTTTCACCCTCTGCTAATGAGTTTTGTAAATCTATGATAAATTTTTCCACTTTCGGCCATATTTCGTTTGTTGTGCTGCCCTTAAATGTTGTTATTAAGCCAGGAGATTGTTGATAATATTCCAGCACAGGCATAATCATTGCGTCATAAATTTTTAAACGTTCAGCGAGGATATCAACTTTATCATCATTACGTTTTACCAGGTCGTCACCAGTAATGTCATCTTTACCAAGAATCTTAGGTTTATTAAATCCGGTATTATATACACGACCAGATTTTAAGTGTATCCACCGTCCCTCGATACGTTCTATAATTACTTCATGCGGTACGTTTAGATTTATGACAGCATTTATCTTCTGTATTGTAGATAAGCTTTTCGCTTGTGTCACATTGCGAGGAAAACCATCTAATAAGAAAGATTTATTTTTCACTTCTTTAAGATGATCCGTCATACATTTAATGATTAATTCATTGGGTACCAATTTGCCTTGATTTACATATGTTTCTGCTTTTTTACCCAGTTTGGTTTGTTTTTCAATATTCGAACGTAATATATCACCAGGAGATATGTGCACAAAGTCGAATTTCTCAACTATGCGCTTAGATATAGTACCTTTTCCGGAGGCTGGTGGACCTAAAATAACAGCTCGTACAGCTTTTTTGAACATTGAAAATTCCAGAAAACTGTAAATAAATAAGAAATTTAACTTTAAATTTTTACATCTAAAGTAAACACACTTGTTAATATTTTAAAAGTTCTCCGCCGCTAACAATATTGCGTATTTTTTCGTAAGCCCTCCTCTTGGGAAATGTTTTTACTGACAACTCGCTTAAAGTGTAAGCTCAAAGTCCAAGGTAGGCAAAGAAATATTCATTCTTCATTTAATAAAATTTTGCTCTGAAATGAAATTTATTTAAAATTATAACAGCAATGACGAATCATTTGTTTGCGTAGCCGGTTCAATAGGTTTAATGATAGGCAAAGATGTATCTTGTCTTTATTGGCAAATTTTTAAATCTATATATGGCACACACTATCTAACGTCGAAACGTACTGTTGCGATTTGCAAAAATTTTTGAAATTTTTTATGATTGCACGGAATTGTTTTGGATTAAGCTCTTTTGTTGTGCTGCCGCAAATAATACAACTACATGTTGGGTGGGAAGTATTTCTCTTTCATTCCCTCTTGTTCTCTATTTTTCAATTTTTATATTAATTTAACAAGCACTATTGTGAACGATAACAGCTGTTTTGTGCTGCATTAACACTTTTCGAATGTACTCTTGGCGTACTTTTCTCTTTAGTTTTTCTTTACTCTTATTATTGTTTACTATCGCAATTGGAAAAATATCTCAAGTTATTGAATTAATTTCCATTGTGTGTTTCAAATGTATTCGCCTCGTACCAGTGAGAGCAACAACCAGAAAAAAAATCTATTTCTTGATTCCCTCTGTAGACTCGATCTGTTCAGAAACCGAACGAGCCCATTAACTGGGCATTTGTATGTGAAGACTCAATTATGTTTTTCATTTTGCTACCGTGCAGCATATAATCATAAAAAAATAAAAAATATAATTCAGTAAATTTACTGTGTTCCTTGTATTAAAAACAGTCATTAAGTTTGAGAATTTTGCACAGTAAACTTACGATTACGCAGTGCGACTTTCCATTGTTTTCAACGAAAACTCTACATCTGTGCCTGGTCTGGTACTAAAATTCATATATAGCACACATTGTTTCTGCAATTTGTTTTAGCGAAAGTTATTTGCTTTCATTTTCAAAAATTTGATTAAAAGCTTTATCGTTTTTATTGTTGTTATATATTATTACGTGTGATTAATCACCATAGCAATAAAATCTAAATAATAACATTTTAATTATTAAGCAGTTCTCCAAATTTCAACGTAATTTCCATAGCTATAGAAATATTTTCAGCTAAGTATAAAGGTTATAATGCACAACAGGTCAAATTTTATTGCAGGATAATCAAAATTACATATTACTAGTAAATGGACAAGGAGTGCGAAATACATAATTAAGCAAACATAACCGAAACTTCCCCGCAAGTCATTGGAAAGAGAACTGGCTACAAGAATTAAAGACTGCGAGCATGAATTTCTTATTTTACTTAACGAATCATTGGGTAGGCTCCAATAATCATATGTACCTGGTCATAACAAGTTTGAGAAATTTGTTACGGCCAAACATGGATGCGTTTCTGCGAAGTACTTTGTTAAATTCCTTAATTCTTCTTTGTTAAATTCTTTCGTAAGCAATACTTAAATCTTTACAATTAAATACTTGCTGAAATATGTAGACAATATATTAACCCACAAATTGATAACTTCTTACACTTCCTTAAAACCGTTGACATTCATTAACTAAGCACTATGTATATGAGTTACCAAGAGAATACTGAGTAAATAGAAAAGGATCATTCACAAAAAAAAAAATTAAAGGGCGGTCTTTGATGACCGCCAAATATGACTAAAATATTCCAACATTGGCAAGAATTAAAGGTCAAAAATCATAGATGTGTATGAAATTGTCAAGTTTCATGATAAAACGAAATTCCCACACTTTGCATTTAGAGCTCATTTCATTGCTTGGTATTATTAAGAAGTATACATCTCATTGACATAACGTGTTTCCAGTAATAAGTTCCTCTCTTTCACGATTTTACGTTATTCATACAACACCTTTGAGATTAGGGTCCTACTGCTGAATTGTGATCTTTAGGGTAGTACAGCTTTTATTTACAATTCTTGGGAGAACTATTTACCATTTGTTTACAGGAACTTCTGTTCTCGTCCTGGCCTTCTTCGTTCGCATATTGCAATTTAACTCTCTTGGCTCGACTCTCTCGACTAACTTTCGGCTCACTTGCCTTCGACTCACGACTTTTCTCTTCCACAAATATTCTGCTTATATACCCTTTACAAAATAAACTAACATAACCTAAATTCACCGCGACATTCGTCAACCCGTTAAACCGCTTCTTCGCTAAATTTCTGCAAATTGTTGTTAGTCTTTCCTATAATCACCAGCTGCATGACGCAGATAACGTGCTATAAAAGTATGCTTTGTTTTCCCCTTTTTTAGAAGTTTCTTTTATAGAAAATTGACTTATATTCATGAAAATTCAAATCATCGTCTATAGCATTTTCGTAACAATAAGATTTCACTCTGTTCCTCAAAAAATTGTATTCCGACTTTAACGACTTTCTTAAATATCAGAAATTTGGTCTTTTTTCATAAGGTTATTCATATTCTGACTTTTTAAGACGACAAAGTTTAATTTGTCGATTCCGAATGTGCGATAGATCCAATTCTTCTTGACCAAAGATATTTAACATCTTCAAGAACTTTCTTTGTTAACACTCCCAACATACGAAATTTTTTACCAGCCACAATTAAGGCAAATCTTCGGATTAGCAATAGCAGTTAATTTATTTTTAAAATCAGTCAATGACGTGTGAACGAATCAAACGGGGAGAAGTTTACAGGAAGCGGATAAAATATTGTTTTTATTAGATAAAAAAATAATTCATTGTTGTTCCATTGAGCAATACATTTATTGTTTTTGAAAATTTGAAAATTGATAAATATTTTTTAATTCGCAAACGCGAAAAGAAAGCAAGCAAATTTTTTGCTTCATCTTCATCGATTGTTTTATCGCTACTGTTCTTACTGGCCAGCTTAATCAATGTCTACTTCCCGATTCCTCACTAAACATTGCATTGTTCGTGAAATAAACTAACTTCTATACCAAAGTAAGAATTTAAGTTAGTAGCAGGTTTACCGGTATGACGAGGAAAACATAATTATGTACATAAGCTGAAAAATGAAAATTTGGACAGGCGTTCAAATATAATTAAAATTCTAAATTCTCTAGGGCCTTCATTCAGACTTTTGGAGATCTGCAAGTAATTTCTGGATTTTGCACACTATTTCGTCGCTAGTTGTGTCATCAACTGATTTTAATATACCGGGAAATTCCTTTTCATAGTATTCTAATATAGGTTTTACCGTTTGCTCATAAGTTTTTAAACGTTCCGCAAATACTTCGGGTTTATCATCTTCACGTTTTATTAAATCCTCCCCTGTTATGTCATCTTTACCAGGTACTTTAGGTTTATTGAAGTAAGTATTATAAACTCTGCCAGACTTTGTATGTACAAAACGTCCTTCAATACGTCGGATAAGTTCTGCATGCGGTATATTTAGATATATAACAGCATTCAGTTTCTGCACTTCAGATAAACGTTTAGCTTGTGTGATGTTACGCGGAAAACCGTCTAACAAGAAAGAAGTACAAGTCAGGTCTCTGAGATGACCCGCAATGAATTCAATGATTATATTGTCCGGGACTAATTTGCCTTGGTTTACGTAAGCTTCCGCCTGTTTACCCAAATCAGTATTCTTCTCAATATTCGCGCGTAACAGATCACCTGGAGAAATGTGCACAAGATCGAATTCCTCAAGTATGCGCTTAGCTACGGTACTCTTCCCAGAACCTGGGGGACCCAGAAGAGAAGCACGAATAATTTTTCTGTACATTTCAATGCTCAAATGAAATAAATTCTAATTTTTTTCTAGGAAAGGAAAATAAAAAGTCATTTTGAAACCTCAAAGTTTTTGTTCTAACTACAGAATGCATTGTTTTCATAAATTTATCTCATCATAAATATATTTACAGTTACAATAAATATGTAAAAAATAAAAAAATTTCATTATGTAAAGTAACAATAATTATGGTTATTCCCTGCTAATGTTATTTTGGCTTAAGAATTTATTTCATTGGTCTAAAAAATTAAGATAGTAGTAATAACAGTTCCTTAGGAAATTTACTCCTCCACATTTGCAATCATGGATATAATCTTATGATTAAACTTGTGCATTATGAATGCCGGAACACTTCCAATTTTCGAAGACTCGTTTTCGAAACGTCTAATTTTATCGACATCGTGAATGTAGCTGAAGGACATAATATATCAGTAAAATATTTGATTTCAATAACTAAACTAATCATTTACTCTACCTCTCGAAAAAAAAGACCCAAGTTTTCATTGCTAGTACTCGACGTCTTTTTCCAATTTGTTGGAATGTAGACTAGAATAAGTTTCAGTGATACGCTTTTCTTTAACATGATCCGTTACATTAGTTTTACGAAATTTTTTTTAATGAAATCTATTTCGTCACTATTCTTGATAATCTTGTGCCTTTGAAAGTTTTCACACCCATTTGTTCATCGCATTATTGAACGGTCGGTATTGTGTTTTATCAATTAACTATTTTCCAAATTCTATTTCCATTTCATATCCAAATTATTGGTGATCAGACAAACTTTATTATTAAATCCGATCTTTGCCAAATTTGTTGTAGGTAACATATCGTTTGTTATGTTCTACGTTAAATTAAATCAAATAGTTAGACAGTTTAACATCAATTTATAACATTTGCTACATCGCTCTCCATGCTGAACATTACTTATTTATATTATTGCTTCTTGGCTGTTTTATGCAAATAAATAAATAAAATAAATAAACAAGAACAATTTTCCTTTCAAGTTAAATAACGAATCATATCAACCCAAGCAAATATAAATGTGGCGAAATTATGTGCATATGCCTTTAAGTTATAGAATTTTCTGCGAAGCGTTACCAGATTGCACAAAAGAAAGATATTTGATATGATGTACGGTCGATGGATATTAATTCTCTGTTTTTGAATTCAAGTATTGTATATAAACTGATGGCTAAATGACGCAAAATTTCCCTTCTTTTAAATACTCACAATCTAATGAACAATATTACTCAAAGCCTACTTAGGTACTGATAATATAACTGCGGTAATTTAAACCCAATGCTTCTTCTCGCGGATAAATTCTTCGGTCAAATAAATTAATTTGATTTTGCAGAAAAATGAGCAATCGAATGATTTCCTGTCGTAAAACTACACCATCTATCTAAATATGTTTTTTACGTTATATACAATTCGCAAGAATCCGTACCAAAAAAACGTTGTGGAACTAATTAAAATTTAAACGCAGAAATTTTATTCAAATGTATTTATTAATAACTGACAGTCGTTTGTATTTATTTTGCTTTAATTTTTTTCAAAAGTTACCAGTGCTCGATTTTTTGAGTATATTTTTATCACGTTTAATAATTTCTTCCTTACGTTCTTTTTGTGCGCGATTGATAATTTCATCGATTTCCTCAATGGATGGCCCATCATTTTTGTCCTCAAATTTATCATGAGACCAAAGTTCACTTGATGATTTGTTCGATGAATTCTTGTTACTACTGGAATTTGATGTGAATGATGATGACGACTTAAGTGGATTGTACCCTGGACGTTGCCAAGTGCGATTGGTGTGGCGTGCGGGTTGCAAATGGTTATGTGAAGGACTACGTGAAATATGTCTTCGATATCTATGGGAGCGACGCGTCGATGGTGAACGTCTGTGGCGGCTGCGCGGAGATGGGGTCCCCCTGGGTACAAATGGTGAGGGAGAACGCCGATAGTCGCCACCGCGGCGTCTTACAGACTTAGTTTGTGGACGCGAGTGTGAACGCGAACGCGAAAAGGAACGCGAAATACGCCTTCGGCTTGACCTGTAACGGTGTTTGTTATAGGGAGAAAATGAACGGGAACGCGTTGTAGAGCGTGGCCGTCGGTATCTTGAACTGCGTCGTTCTCGCGACGACGGTGAATGTGAACGCGATTTTCGCCGTCCACCACTACGACTGCGATGACGCGAACGTGAACTCCGTTCAGGCGATAGCGTGGGACTTTTAGGCAAAGCTGGTGTAGCCAAACGCACCAAACCAAACTTGTCGACCTTAACTGGTTTTTTGATCTGAAAAGAAAATTTGGCCGGTTCCGGCTTAATAGATGGCGGTGGCGGTGGTACTTGTGTTTTGCCAAACCCCATGATTTTAAAACTCGATGTTGAGGTCGTTGATTTTGCAGACGATGGAGTCACGTCATTGCTGCATATGCGCATAGATGGTGCCCTTGGCGGCGGTGTTTCAGACTTTTCACGTTTCTTCACCGCTGTATCAGCAGCAATAGTAGGAATTGCTGCTGCGTTGTTAGTTATTTGCTGGGCTTGTTCCAAAAGTTCTTGTCTTTTCTTGATTTCAGCTATGGTTTGTTCATAAAGTTTAAGATTTTCATTAAGTTTACTTTCTAAATGTAAGCCGCTGCCTAAAAATCTAAAGGGAGCCATAAAAAACTTTTAACGTTCCTTAATATTTTCCGATTTACTCACTTGTAAGCTTCCTCGAGGTTAATTTTATCCAAAATATTTGATGATTCTTTGTTTTTGCTCGAGCTTTTTTTTGATTTCTTACTTTTTTTCTTTTTTGATTTTTTCTTTTCTTTTTTATGCTTGGAAGCTTCGTGTAAAAGTTTGCGCACACGGGTCTCAGTATCATCTTCATCCAGCTGCAATCAATAAAGTATATATTAGTATTTTGCGTGCAAGACGAACTTCTTTCTTTAAACACCTTGAACTCGTTGGGTATAACGGTAGAGCTAACGGTTTGAGTCATGTAGAACGGTTGATTGAATTTTGGTTGTTTATTGCTATTCTCCAAAGAGGCACTGTGCAAAACCATTTTCTTGCTAAGCGGCGATAAAGATCTATCCTTTTTTGATGTTGAAGTATGTGGGATATCTACATAGAATGTTTACTGAAGCAAATGTTTGCAACATAAATTTTTTTTTTTGTTTGGAACTTACCGGAACTGTCAGATCCTGAGGCTGAGCTGGATTCGGTGGCGTTTGATTCATTACTTGACAATGAAGGCGGACTAGCTCTTTGTTTTTGCGCAAGTTTTTCACTTTCTGAAAGGCAATAAGTAAAATATTTATTACAATTCTATTTAATATATTGTAAGTCTTACGATCTCAAATTTTAAGGACTCTGTAAAATAATAAAAAATTTTTAATCAATTCTCGTTTAAAATGTATGCACCTGAAACATTATGAGAACTGTCATAGACGGGAATTGATAATGGTTCTATTGAAGCTCCGGTCCTTTGCTGTATAACTTCTAGCGATAGGCGAGCCTGTTCGTGATTGGGTATAATATTTAAACAGTCGCGATAAGCTTTAGCAGCATCTTGTATACGGTTATCTTCCTCGTAACTCCGGGCCAAAGCCACCAATGTTTCACCCATATATTTGCGTGCGTTTACATGGTAAGCGTTTAATTTTAAAGCCTTCTCGAAATCCTCTACGGCTTTTAGAAACGAACCTTTGTTAGCGTATAAGGCGCCTCTAGCCACCAAACCCTCGACGTTGCGTGGATCTATGTTTAAAGCTCGATTGAGACATTGGAACGCTTCCACATGCTGGCCAATTTTAAAGTATTCGATGCCTTCGGCTACAGATCTGTAGGAGTTAACTATATTATTTCGAATTTTTTTTTTAATAAGCTAAATTAATGATTACCTAAAAGCCCATTTACTGGCTTGGATTTGTCTTAGTTCTTTCGCATATTCTGGGCGGGGAAATTCGCATTTTAAAGACCTCATCACAGAGAAAGTGTCATTGATAACTAAACCATTCATTATATACAGAATTTTGCAATTAGGATTTTCAAATTCCTTGGCTTTTCGAATACATTCTTCATATTTATCTAAGGTATTATCGACGGTTTTGCTACGATGTACAACAAATTATTGACAAGATTTGCTCTGCTTTTGTCGATTACGTACCGATAAATTAAGGGCAACTCGTCCTGGCTTATTATGCCTAATTTAGCATTTTTGTGTTTGCCAATGGTGTGTTCCAAACTTAAAGTCATACGATCAGCATCTATGGAGAATTCCACCATTTCGCAGCAAAGGTAATCATTAGTAGAAATGGAACGAGGTTTACCTAATTTATCTAACGGCAAAGTACCAACCAATTGGTTTGGGATAATTGCCTGAATTTTTAGAACAAAGTAAAGTAAACCTAATAAACATTCTACGAAGTACTAAATTCTGACCTTTATATTGGAATCTCTCAATATATGAACGCAAGGCTCACCAGTGCATAGAGGTTTAACTACAATGGGTGCTGAAGATATGGAGCTTTTCGAACGTATCACTATTGCGTATATAATATCGCCGGGTTGTAATGACTCTAAGACGCGTCGTAATATTTTCGTTTTGTCTTGCTTATGGGGCATAACAATTTCATAGGAGGGTACTCGCGCCACGAAAAATTTTGCTAAAATTAAAATTAAATAATAAAAAATATACAAAGCAAAAGAAAATCAAAGGAAAAGTTTATATCATACATACTCTGTTATAACAGGCTTAGAATAAAAAAAAAGCATAGGGTTAAATAGCACTTTGTTTCTTAAGGAAAGAAGGAAAGCACTTTGATTTTACTTAAAACATAATCACAGAACGAAATAGTTTGAAGACCGTTAAACACTTTTAAGAGGCTCGGATCCTATTTCTCATAAAATATGTGCTTACCTTTTTCTCTTTCCTCCGTCGTTAAAGCGGACCCTCTTAGTAAATACATTTTTAGTAAATCATTATCATACAAATCCGGGGCTTTACGGGCCAAAAATTGATGCAATTTTAAACGTTTAGCACGATCCTGAAATGTAAAATATTTTTGCCTTTCCATGTAAATCGAATAATTTCCATCTTCGGGCACACCCATTTTCTGCAAATCACCAGCTCCCCTTTCGTCGTCCCATATTTTTTGCATTGGTTTACCATGAAAACATAACGCCTTCTTAATCAAATCGACATCCATTTTCTGCAACAAAAATGCAAGATGTTTACCTGGAATCCTCTAAAATCTATCTATTTCACTCAAAAGACTCCATATTCCGTATTCTTACCCTGAGTCTCTGTTTCCTTTTTTAAAATAAGACGTATACTTACATTAATTTCTTTAACTGAAATCAATAGAAATTTGTAATTAACGCTAATATCGTACAATATTCACCATCAATTTTTTCGGAGATTCCTTTAAGTTTTCTGAAAATATAGATTTTTCGAACAATTCTTCACCCACTAAGTTGTAGCTATTCTTCTTCCTTTTATTTTTAATCATCCGCAGTGAACTAAGTTTTAACTAAAACAGGGTAGTTTATAAGTATTATTAATTTTTTGTTCACAGTAAAGTAATAATAAATGACAGAGTTATGTATGTAACCGCTTGCAAAGGTGACCCGTTAATCATCTGCAAAGAGTATTTGGATGTTGTGCACACTTTAACGTGGAAATGAGACACAAATATATTTATAACTACATAGATATAAATATATACAAATATATGTACGAATGTAGAACAATAAACGAATATATAATACATTTAAATAAATATTGTCCTGCGCCCAAATTAAACATTCAAAAAAATTTTTTTTGTGCTAGTACATTATGTTGCTTAAATTTGTTCATAGCATACTAATAAGTATTGAGGCCAGGTCGATGTAATTTGTCTGCCAATAATTCATTCCCCATTCGTTAAAATGACGATTAGAAATTGAAAACTTTCTTTAAGAAAAAAACTTGGCCGCAGATCCTTTGTTATTCTTCTTATTTAATTGCGAAAATCAGCAAAATTAGTTTAAAATCCTAAAAGAAGGGCGCACTACGTAAATATCCTTTTTAGTTTCTGCGAATACGATTTGAAATATATACGTAACATGAACGTTACCGTGTCGACATACCGAAAAAGTTTGTCTTTGTTCTACTTCCAATTTAAATTTCATCCACGTGTAGTGGGCATTTAAATATATTATTCTGTTTACCTTTATAACAGAAATATTCTTTTATTCATCCTTACGCTTCTTTTTTTCGCTTCGAACGTACATGAATAATTTTTCAATAGAATTGAAATAAAAATTTTTTGGTGGAACAATTTGTCCTTTATTTTTATGGTATGTTGAGTTACGTGAGTGACGAAGTTAATTTTACCTTCTGTATTTGTAAACAGCTTTATTGAAAGTGGTTTTGCGCGTGGTTTTCTTTTACTAAGATTTAAATTTATGTTTTTTGTACTTAAATATAATTTTGTATAATCTGAAAAATAAAAAAATAGACATGATGGCAACGTTTTTGGATCTTTCGACGATTGTATTTAATTTTTTGACCCTTATCTAATATGTATTTTGCTTTATTTTAGCCATTAAAGTACAAAGCACTGGAAAGGCTAAATGCAAATGGATGGAGATTTTACGCAAAAACTCGAATGAGTCTAATCGTAGCCTGTTTTATACGAGCAAAGAGATCTTTGCTTACAATGAAATGTGTCTGCCCGCGTTCGATCCACAAGGTTTAGAACTAAATTCTGGCGAACATGTTTTTGATTTCTCATTCACTTTGGCAACGCATCTACCTTCTGCTTTTAAAGGTAATTATGGCGCTATTAAGCATAAGATGTGTATAATAATACAACGGCCTTGGGCTTTTGATGAACGCCATGTTATTCCTTTAATGGTTATCAAGAATATGCCTCTTCCCTTGGGTTATAGACTGCACCCTACTCCTTTGGAAAAACAAATCACTAAAACGATTAGTTTGTTTGGTACTCGCCCAATAACAATGCTAGCCCTCTTGCCTGAGGAATTTGCTGTACGGGGCGAAACAATGCGGATATGTGTGACAGTGATCAATAATAGTAATACAAATGTTGAGAAATTACGCTTTTGCATATTACAGTATATAAACTATCACAGCTTTTTGCCTGTACGTCGACAAAAAACTGAAATTATAACCATCGCTACTAAAGAAACTGGAGCAGTGCAAAGGAAAAGTGAGCGCTCTTTCGCTCACGAGTTGATCATACCTCTGACAGCTCAGCCTACTGACCATGAACTATCAGATGCAATTAAAATAAGTTATGAACTAAGAGTTGAAGCAGTACTGCGTGGTTTGTTTAAGAATTTGGTGTTAAATTTGCCTTTTAAATTGTACTCAAATGAGCTAGGAGAGTCCAGGGAGAGACATTCCCGTCCTTCAACGGGTGGTAGTGGTGATTACAGACCCGCGCTTGGCAATGGTGCTGGAAATCCGTTCGAGCCAAATTTGGAAGGCTCACCAACACATTCTTCGCAGCCAGGGGAAAGTAGTGAATCAAGTTCTATGAATTCTACAACCACCGATTCATCAGCTGCCACCCTCAGCCCTGCTGTAGGGGGAACTGCTTTGTCTTACACTTCCGATTCCTCGTCAGTGTGTAATAATACTTCCACTAGAGGCAGTTTACGTAGTTCAAATGTTCCTTATCTACGTTATTGGAGTAACAGTCCTCCATACGCAGCTGTAAGTGATTCGCCAAGGCATAATTTATTAACACGACGGGAATCGGGGTCCACCAGAGGAAACACACATTTTACGCATTGTCCGGCAGTGAGTGAAGCGGTAGCTGTGGCGGCTGCTGTGGCAGCTGCCGCGAATGATAGTACCCTTATGCAAGCAGCTGCCGCCGCTGCAAGTGATACAGTCATCATGAACGCAGCGGCAGCTGCTGCGGCTGTATCTTTTCTGAGTTCGCGATCATCTCATGGTACTCAAGAGTTACGTAAGTCAACTGCTTTACATTTTTTGAATTCCTATAAGTTACTAATTTTTCTCCTCACTTTATTTTAGCTCCGTCATATGAAGAACTGTTTGGTAATGCTTCAGCCCCACCTGTATCCACACCGTCGGACACAGCTAAATGAAACTGGTTGTAACTTTCTATGTCTTCTTCTTGCTTTCTATAACTATCTTTAAATAGCATTTATTTGAATAGAACGGAACAAGTTACTAAACCCCACCCACCCCTGCGTTCATTCTTAAAATGGCACAAGAAATTTGAATTATAAAGGCCGTTTTTAAATTGATAGCAAGCACAGAGTTGTATTTGTTTACACAAACAATACGAGATAATTAAAAATTTGTTATGAAATTTAATAGCACAAACTATTATTTTACACCGAAAACAATTTTTGAAATGCATACATAGATATATATTTTATTTATTATATACCATACATGAATAGAAAGCTTTAGCCATAATATCATGAACCAGTGAAACCGTTAAGTGTTCAAATTTTTCTTGCCCTTTTTCTACGTATATACATATCGCTATTTTGTGTAGGTTTCCCTCCATCCATGTAGATATGCCCCAAACAATAGCAGCAACAACGTTTCCCTCCAATATCTTTATATATTTTTATATTTGTTATCTTTCAACATTATTAACATTAAACAAAACGATGAATTTAATTTTAATTGTAAGTTTTTTTTAAGCCGCGCACATAAATTACCTAATGTAAAGTCTCAGACTTAAAGAGGAAAAAGGGAAATTAAAGGAAATCTATCTAAATTCGGGTTCGATAGCCAGAAATCATTAATAATTCGTATTTTTTAAATAATCTTTATAAATAATTAATTACACCAAACAAAATAAAGAATTTATTTATTTATATTTTTCGCAATATTTTAATTTTCATAATAAAATGAACTTTTTAGGTGATATTTTATTTATTTATAAAAAAATATGAGAAGCACAAAAACAAAAGCAATTGAAACTACTTTACTGATTTTTATTAACGAGTACTTTTTTAAATTTATATATAACTTAAAATTTAAAAACAATTGTTACACATAGAAACCGTGGAGATAGTGAATAAAAGTAACCTACTCGAATAAACTTTCAACTGTTTTATTTATCTTTAATATAAAATAGATGGGTGACATTTTACGGACTTTTCGTTCGTGTTAAAAGTCCATAAAAAATAACCAAGTACGAATGTTATTTTTATTATTTGAGTTGTAACTATAAACTGAACTGACACCAAGCTTTCTACCATAGGACCATCCGAAACTACAAATTAAAGTATTTACAACGACCTTTATCAATTCGTAACGCCTATCGCCAGTTTATTCCTGTTGTGTTCTTAACGAAACCATAATTGTTGGATCCATAAACGGCGTAAGTATGGTATGAAACATATCTTTTGTCGTATGTGTCGCCGACATATTTTTTCCAAATAACAATTTTTGAGTGATATAATCGATCATATCGGCAATTTATTCTTCCGCAAATTTGACGTTTTCTTGAAACACGTCTACGTAAACGTAGAGATGTTAAAATTACAACGAACCATCATTTTCATATCAGCGGTTTCGATTAGTATTAAAGAGCGAAAGCAAGTTTTCTTTTAAAAGTTGAGATTAAATTAAGTAAGCAAATGAGAAATGTGGATTATATGTCCAGATAACACAACATGATGATGGTTATTTACATACGTGTATTTTGAAATATAGAGGCCAATATTATATACATAAGTCTATTAGTAGATTGTAATGATGTATACAGTGATCTTAAAACAATGTTACAAATTTGACTGATATAAGACTGTAGCAATTTAAACTGAAAATGTTGAAGCTATATAATTCCTTATGTGTTCATGCATCTGCTTAGTAGTGATAGCTCTGCGAAAACACCGATTCTGTCATCTAAATATGTTTTTGGCGCTGAAGAATCAAAAGGTACGCTCCCTTGTTTTACACTTTTCGCAAATGGTTTATTTGTTTGTGATACGCAGAAATCTACGTGTAACAGTATAAATTAATGCATGGATACATTACATATATATATAAAAACGCACACATTTTTAGGCAGGGTAACGGGTTTGGAAACACCTCGCAGGGCTCGTCTTCGTAACAATTGTACGGCGCGAAGTTCGACCCCCTTCGATCACATGATGTAAAATGCTCTGTCAAAGCATGCTGCGTAATTGATTACTATTATGTATTAACAGTTAATTTACTTTCAATTCAATTTTTTTGTAAATAGGAGATTATATGTCCAAATTAACGAATTTGTATGCAATTTCAATGTTTATATGCTATCGAATTTAAGTGTTGTCGAATAAACTTTTTCTTCTCAAAATTTGTATAGTCGACGGTTCAAAAATGGTCGTTTTGGTACAATTGTTTGTAAGTAAAACATTTTTCTTAGGATTTTATTTTCTTTCCCATTAGCAAGTAATGACGTATCTGAAGGTCAGCATACATTTTCGTTTTTAGGCTGCTTTTGAATCGCTTACGTGACAGCATTGAGCTTCGCTTGACCACTATTCGTTTTTTGGGATCACGGAAGCACAACAGCTGCTAAATACGCTCTCTCTTAATTCCCAAATTAGGCAAAAGCACAATTGCCCACGTTGCGTTTATAAGAGAAAACAGCCGTAAATTGAAAACAAAATTGTTGGTTTATAAACAGCTGAACCAGAAAATAATATTTAAAACAAAAAACAAATTAACAAACAAAACCAAAACAAAATAGCAATTTATGGAACAAAACAAAGTTGAAATTAGGCACAGAAACAAAAATTGCAAAAAAAATTTTTTTCCTTTGTGTTTTAACAATTAGCAATTTATGGAACAAAACAAAGTTGAAATTAGGCACAGAAACAAAAATTGCAAAAAAAATTTTTTTCCTTTGTGTTTTAACACAATTTTTTTGAGTGGGACATAAAAGCCACAATCTGGCGAAAGGAGAAATCGCCATTTTTCTTCTCCAGCTTCAAGACTTCGACCTTGAATGTCTTAGCGTCGTCGATTTTCTTCTTAATTGAGTTTGCATGATTAATAATTTTTGGAGCGTCTTCCATTTTCGATTTGCGGAGCGCTTTATAACTTATATCTTTAGAGACATTTTATAATTCGAGGTTGCATAGTGCATTCTTCTTTTGTGATAACGACCCATAAAATATAATAATTATATGCACCTATTATAAAATATTATTTGCCTCTATTACATAGACAATAATACTATTGGATTTGTTATCTTTTAATGTACAGTTGCTTTGTTCGTTTGCAGATTATTTCTGATATAATTGGCTAAATTAAAAACTGTTGAAGCCATAGGAAGCTGACGCACGTCTTTTCCGTCCATTACATTGAATCCTGGTTTTAATCGCGATCATCATTAGATTTTTAATTTTGCAAATTACTAAAGAACGCAGGTAGCCAGTATATATAGTTCGTTGAAATGGAGATTCCTTATCAACATGACGGCATCAGGTTACACACACGCGAATATGAAAAAGTGTCGATGTATTATTTTAACAATTGCCAGCTTCAATTCAAAAAATCTACTAAAAAATAGGTTACATCATTGCTTTTAACAAGATACATTTTTTTAAATGGATGTCGGTTCTTACTTTAGCAAGTGCCCATTTCCTTCTCAGCAAATTTGCGAATCTCTTTAATGGTGGTCTACTCAGCTTAGTCAAAACAGAGTCACTATATCTTCCACAGTCGTTTTGTTTGTTCATTTATTAAAGAACCAGCTATTATTTGTTGGATTTTGACAACGGCAAATAAACAACAAAACAAAAATTTGCTTCTTTGTTCTGCTTTTTCATTTATACAGGAATGATAGCAACGAAAGTCATACGTGCAGCAAACACAAATGTTGATTAACTATCGGCTACGTCGCGAACGTTGACAGGGTTGTGCAAGCAAGAGAGCAATATATTTGGCTCGAAAAATTTTTATCAAGAAAGTTTTTGTCGCAATACAGTTTACAACGCTAAGGCCAAAAAGTACTACAGATTTCATACGGAACTGCCATTTTTAATTAGGCTTCACTTTCGTAAAACATACAACAAACGCATTCTTCTTGTTTACGATATTAGTAGATTTTTCATAAGATATACATTAAGCAATTTTTTGCGGTATTATTTTTTGTAAACGTGCAGCGTGAAATTAAAGCTTCCTAGTTAAGACAATTCGCCTGACTTAATGAAAGCCTTGCTTGTTACGAAAAATTTTTGGTGGCTCATTCCTTTCAAAAATTTTAGCTGGCACATAGCTGCAAAGTGTTCACTTTAAAGTGCTAAAAATTGAATAAATCAATGAAGAAATGAATAAAAACAAATAAATAAAAACCAAAAAAAATAAAAAATAAATAAATAAAGAACACAAGGCGGAGCTGGCAACATTTGGTTTATAAAATTTAGTATGTAATTGGATTTATTATTTATTTGAAATTTATATTTACATTTTTTCATAATTTTGTATTGTTATAAATTTCCAATGTTAATTTTTTATGTAAATAAATTAAAATTTAAACAAATTGATCGTTGTTTTATTTTTATAATAGCTATTTATAAATAAATATTCAAACATATACTTTTAGTCTATAAGTTTTAATGTCTAATTATTTTTATTATTTATTTATTTATTTTATATATTTTCATTGATAATATAGTTTAGATTAAATGATGTCCAACATTATGGTTGAACAATTCCATGATGTCCTCAGCCGACTTCTTCGAGACTACCCAAAGTTATGGCATCACAGGCGGGGGTCGATTAAGAACCAATGCACGGAATTGGCTAGAAAAATAAGTGACGAGCTGCAGCGTCCTGTGTCCGATAAAAAAGTGCGGGCCGTCCTGAAAAATGTCAGGCGGCATTCGCAGCGGATGGAGAAAGGGTTGTTTCGGAAGATCCATTATTGCGCATGCTATTATATGTAGGGTTTTAATAATTTCAGTCAACACACACTTTTGCATTACAGTTGAGAAGACGAGAGCATTGCCAAAGTAAAGTCTAGATAGTCCTACCCTTAAACAAATTGATTGTAAATAAAAGAGTCTTGTAGTGAAGACGTGCAAATGTATTTTTCTTAAAAAGAATATGCACGATCCAGCGATACGAACCGTATCCGAGAAAAGCGAATTTCGTAACAATGCGTATAACGATCGTAACAATGTGTATGTTTTAAATAAAAAATTTAAGCTGAATGAATTCTTTAAGGAGTCACGGTAAATAAATACATATATGTAGTAATGCTGTTTGGATTTATTGTATGCTTGCAATTATAGCGTTTGTAATATTTCCAAATTAATTATATTAACGCTACGCAAATTCCTTCCAAAACCTCCACTTTTTAATAATGTGCACATAAAAGTTTGCAACACTGTTTCACTTTCAACACTCAACCAGCACAATTACACAATTTCATTTCACATACCGGCAATTTCATCACTTTTTCATTCGAATTCGCTTTACCACTCATTGATTTGTAAACAATTTCATCTGTTTTTCAATCGAATTCGCTATACCGCTATAAATGCTTAATTTAATCGTGTAATTCTTCCCATGCCGTACCATCTAATTGAATAAGATTTTGTGTTAGTGGATCGGTGCTTACATTATTGTATAAACCGCGATCTTGTAAATAATCAGTATTTACTACCAAAATTTGACAAATAGCATCAAGATCCAACATTAATATACCCAGAATGACGAGTAAAGTAACTGTGTGTATCCTTTTATTTATCATTATCCGATATACGATTCATGGACTTGATCAGAACGTACCGTTCTTTCATTTCTTTGCATTAAAAATAACAACTTACCCATCTCTTCTTCATTTCTTGTTCAATTAGACGTATGTCCTCCTCT